CACGTTTGAAGTTTGCAAAAGAGCACCTGGATGTTCCACAGCACTACTGGCAGAATATACTGTGGACAGATGACACCAAGATTGAGTTGTTTGGGAAGAACACACAACACTATGTGTGGAGAAAAAAAGGCCCAGCACACCAACATCAAACCCTCATCCCCACTGTGAAACATGGCGGAGGGAGCATCATGGTTTGGGGCTGCTTTGCTGCCTCAGGGCCTGGACGGATTGTTGTCATTGATGGGAAAATGAATTCCAGAGTTTATCAAGACATTTTTCAGGAAAACGTACGACCATCTGTCCGCCAATTGAAGCTCCGCAGAGGATGGGTGATGCAACAGGACAATGACCCAAAGCATACAAGTCATTCAACAAAACAATGGCTGCAACAGCACAGAATACGCCTTCTGGAGTGGCCCAGTCAGAGTCCTGACCTCAACCCGATTGAAATGCTGTGGCATGACCTTAAGAGAGCGATTCACACCAGACATCCCAAGAATATTGCTACACTGAAACAGTTTTGTGAAGAGGAGTGGTCCAAAATGACTCCAGATCGTTGTGCAGGTCTGATCTGCAACTACAGGAAACGTTTGGTTGAGGTTATTGCTGCCAAAGGAGGGTCAACCAGTTATTAAGTCCGAAGGTTCACATACTTTTTCCTCCCTGCACTGTGAATGTTTACATGTTATGTGCAATTAAACCATGGCAACATCTAATGTTTGTGTAGTATTATGTTCAGCAGACTGTGTTCTTCTATTGTTGTGACTTAGATGACGTTCAGAGCACATTTTATGCCCAATTCATGCAAAACTCCACATAATCCCAAGGGGTTCACATACTTTTTCTTGCAACTGCAGTGAACTCGGTGTAGTTATTCCCCCTGAGGTCATCACAGAGGACAAGGGGGCGCTCTTTACGTCTGGAGGAAAAGAAATGTCATCTCCAAACACGGAAAGGTTTCTTCACAGTAAGAGCTGTGAGAATGTGGAATAGACTCCCTCCAGAGTTGGTTGTGGCCAGCTCAGTGGATTGCTGTAGGAAAGTCCTGGATCCTTTCTTGGATACACAGAATATAACTGGATATAACATTTATAGGGAAAGTTGATCCAGGGAATATCCGATTGCCTCTCGGAGGATCAGGAAGGAATGTTTCCCCTGCAGGAGGAGATTGGATCGTGCTTTGCTGGTTTTTTTGCCTTCCTCTGGATCAACTGTGGGTGGAGGATTATAACTTGTTTTTTTTTTTTTTTGAATGAATGATTGAACTGGATGGACTTTTGTCTTTTTTCAGCCAGACTAACTATGTAGCTATCATATGAAGTGGTAGTAAACTCGTAAAAAAAAAATAGTTTCCTGCTGCAAGGTAATATTATAATGTGGTCAGCCAGACTAACTATATAACAATGTATCTATATAACAATGTAACTATATAACTATGTAACTATATAACAATGTATCTATATAACAATGTATCTATATAACAATGTATCTATATAACAATGTATCTATATAACTATGTAACAATGTAACTATATAACAATGTAACTATGTAACTATATAACAATGTAACTATGTAACAATGTAACTATATAACAATGTAACTATGTAACTATATAACAATGTAACAATGTAACTATATAACAATGTATCCATATAACAATGTAACTATATAACAATGTAACTATGTAACAATGTAACTATATAACAATGTAACTATATAACAATGTATCTATATAACAATATAACTATGTAACAATGTAACTATATAACAATGTAACTATATAACAATGTATCTATATAACAATGTAACTATATAACAATGTAACTATATAACAAAGTATCTATATAACAATGTAACTATATAACAATGTAACTATATAACTATGTAACAATGTATCTATATAACAATGTATCTATATAACAATGTAACTATATAACTATATAACAATGTAACTATGTAACAATGTAACTATATATAACAATGTAACTATATAACAATGTATCTATATAACAATGTAACTATATAACAATGTATCTATGTAACAATGTAACTATGTAACAATGTAACTATGTAACAATGTAACTATGTAACATCATTTTAATGTAATACCTGTTCAGATTCGTGGTTTCTCCAGCTTACCTAATTACTTTATATGAAGAATAATAGGATCAAAAATCATTTATTGATCCCCATATGAACATCGTAAGGTGCAATTGTACGGACGCCCAGGGTGAAGCATCCGGGAATCCTCCGATAGGCTCGCCTCAGTGTGTCGGACCCGCAGATCCAAGCCCCTTGTGTATAAGTATTAGTGTATCTAATCATAATTTTAATTGTGACTAAAAAAATTGAAATATCTTTTTTAACAAACATCCTTTTCGCTCGTGTTCTCGCACCTTGAAAATCCCACAATTCCATTGTTCTAGATTTAACCATTTCAGGGATGTGGCGCAGAGTGCTGCTCTGGTCACTCATTCGCCATCCGTCTCTATCTTTTTTTTTTTGTTACAATGTTTGTCCAGAGCTTTGGTCTTTTTTGTTGGGTCGGGACATTATGACCTCGTAGTGAATACGATTAGCACATTTTTATATGGACATTATAAGGATCAGACTCTCAGAGATTTGCGTCTTGCAGAGGACAGGTGAGCGCGAATATAACGGTAGGTTAGGTGCTATTGTATTCCAGCTAAATAGACAGATAGGGAAAAATGTTCTCCAACATGCCTGGAAGTAGAGGGGTGCTGGGAGGCTAGATTTTAATCCCCCCCCCCCCCCCCCCCCCGGGTCTCTGAGAAGGCATCCACTGATCCAAGATCTAGTCTGGTTTGGGACACTGATGTAAGGGGGCACTCTAATGGGGACATTGATGTAAGGGGACACTCTAATGGGGACACCTGATGTAAGGGGGCACTCTGATGGGGACATTGATATATGAGGGCACTCAGATGGAGATATTGATGTAGGGGGGCACTCTGATGGGGACATTTATTATAAAGGGAAGCTCTGATGGAGCATTTATGTAAGGGGGCACTCTGATGAGGACAATCAATGTAAAGGGGCACTGTGATGGGGACACTGATGTAAGAGGCACTCAGATGGGGACATTGATGTAAGGGGGCACTCTGATGAGGACAGTCAATGTAAACGAGCACTGTGATGGGTTCCCTGATTTAAGGGGGATTCTAATGGAGATCCTGATGTTAGGAGTTGACCCTGACCGGGACCCTGATGTAAGGGGGCTTTGATAGGGACCTTGTTGTAATGGGAGCTCTGATAGGGACCCTGATTTGGGGGGACTGTAATGGTGACCCATATGTTCAGGTTCGACCCTGATGGGGACACTGAAGTAAAGGGGCACTCTGATGGGGGCCATGATGTAAGGGGAGCTCTGATAGGGACCCTGATGCAAGGGGGTCTCTAATGGGGACCCTAATGTTAAGGGTTGACACTGATGCAAGGGGACTCTGATAGGGACATGGATGTACGGGGGACTTTAATGAGGACCCTGATGTTAAGGGTTGACCCTGATGGGGACCCTGATGTAAATGGGAACTCTGAAGGAGACCTTGATGTAATGGGTGCTCTGATAGGGACCCTGATGCAAGGGGGACTCTAATGGGGACCCTGATTAAGGGGGACTCTAATGGGGACCCTGATGTTAAGGGTTGACCCTAATGGGGACCCTGATGTGAAAGAGCATTCTGATAGGGACCCTGATGCAAGGGGTTTTATCAGTCTGTCTGTCTATCATTCTATCTATCTGTCTTTTTATCTATCTAATGCTAATTGTCGTTTTTTTGCTTTTACTTCTAATCAAATCTTTGATGTGTTGCTGTGTTCTTAACAGAATATTTTGCCTAAATTAAAATTGAGATGCCCAATTCACCCCCCAAACCATTTAACAGATCTTTAAATGTAAAGAATCCCTACACCCCCCATGGCTCTCCAATGTGTTACCATCTACCAATGTTATCTGGGTCCCCCCCCCCACTGCCCACTCTATCCAATCTCAAGTACCCTTTGACATGTCTACATTGATTAGTGGGACCTTCTGGTGTGTAAAGTTTTTTCCCGAACCATCCATTAGGTTTTTACAGAACTACAATACTTGCAGATATCTCTCCTGCATACAATGTTCGAGTTACTAAAACTTCCAACTGTTTATGATGAATTTTCTGTTAAAACAGACTACAGCCTGTAAGCCATCAGACATACCCCGGGGTATCCCTTGGGGTACTTGCGCCATAGTCGAGAACCTATTCTGTAGACAGTTGCACTCCAATTATCTTTCCTCCATCTTTGGTTATTAGTGATTTTTCTTGTGCTTACAATCTAGGCGGAAGGGTCAAGTAATACAAAAGCTAATAGCTGTGGGGGAGGAGCTGACGGAGGAAATAAATGGTGGTTTACTAGGTAGAAGCATGACAGGCTTCTTTAACCACCTCCTGCCCGCCATATAGTCCAATGACGGGCGCAAGGTGGTTCTCTCGTTCTGGGATGACGTCATATGACGTCCTTCCATTCTCACCACGCAAGCCGACCACCGATCCACGGAAAGAGCCGAAGACGTCGGCTCGGTCATGTGATCAGCTGTGTCCAATCACAGCTGATCACATGTAAATAGGGAAATGGCGGTTATCAGCATTTCTCTCCTCTCGAGCTGTCACACTGACAGGAGAGGAGAGCCAGTAATCTGCATTCCACAGAGGGGACATCTACACTGATCATCAGGGCACTGATGATCAGTGTAGCCCCAGCAGTGCCATCTGTCAGTGTCCATCAGTGCCTTGTGTCAGTGCTCATCAGTGCCACGTTCCAGTGCCCATCAATGCCACATATCAGTGCCTACCAGTGCATATCAATGCCACATATCAGTGCCTACCAGTGCCCATCAATGCCACATATCAGTGCCTACGAGTGCCCATCAATGCCACATATCAGTGCCCATCTAAACTGCCAGTCAGTGCCACCTATCAATGCCAATCAGTGGCACCTATCAGTGCTGCCAATAAGTGCTACTTATCAGTGCCAGTCAGTGCCGCCTATCAGTGCCAGTCAGTGCCGCCTATCGGTGCCAGTCAGTGCCACCTATCGGTGCCAGTCAGTGCCACCTATCAGTGCCATATATCAGTGCTGCCTTTCAGTGCTCATCAGTGATGCCTGTCAATGCCCATCAGTGCCACCTACCAGTGCCTCCTCATCAGTGCCCATCAGTGCCACCCATCAGTTCAGCCTACCAGTGTCCATCACTGCAGCCTCATTAGCGCACATCAGTGAAGAAGAAAAAAAAAGGAGTTGATTAAATACCACCAAAATAAAGCTTTATCTGTCACAAAAAAATGATAAAAATTTCATTTGGGTACAGTGTTGCATGACCGCGCAATTGTCATTCAAAGTGTAATAGCGCTGAAGGCTGGAAATTGGCCTGGACTGGAAGGGGGTATAAGTGTCCGGTAGGCTAGTGGTTAAAAAGGGTTTTCATGGATGGTCTAAAGGTGGATAGATTAGGAGACAGCCGGACAGATTGGGGTAGGGAGTTCCATAGGATGGGAGAAGCTCAGGAGAGGTCCTGGAGGCAGCATGGGAGGAGGTGACACGGGAAACTTGAGAGCAGCAGGTCTTGGGTGGATCGAAAAGAGCGGTTTGGATGATATTTTGAGACCAGGTTGGTGATGTAGCCGGGGGCAGAGTTGTGGATGGCTTTGTAAGTTGTTTTTAGTATTTTGAATTTTATTCGTTGGGCGAGTGGAAGCCAGTGGAGGGATTGGCAGAGAGGGGTGGAGGACCCTGAATGGAGGTCAGTGGAGGGATTGGCAGAGAGGGGTGGAGGACACTGAATGGAGGCCAGTGGAGGAATTGGCAGAGAGGGGTGGAGGACACTGAATAGAGGTCAGTGGAGGGATTGACAAAGAGAGGTGGAGGACACTGAATGGAGGCTAGTGGAGGGATCGGCAGAGAGGGGTGGAGGACACTGAATGGAGGCCAGTGGAGGGATTGGCAGAGAGGGGTGGAGGACACTGAGTAGAGGCCAGTGGAGGGAACGGCAGAGAGGGTGGAGGACACTGAATGGAGGCCAGTGGAAGGATTGGCAGAGAGGGGTGGAGGACACTGAATGGAGGCCAGTGGAGGGATTGGCAGAGAGGGGTGGAGGACACTGAGTAGAGGCCAGTGGAGGGAACGGCAGAGAGGGTGGAGGACACTGAATGGAGGCCAGTGGAAGGATTGGCAGAGAGGGGTGGAGGACACTGAGTGGAGGCCAGTGGAGGGATTGGCAGAGAGGGGTGGAGGACACTGAATGGAGGCCAGTGGAGGGATTGGCAGAGAGGGGTGGAGGACACTGAATGGAGGCCAGTGGAGGGATTGGCAGAGAGGGGTGGAGGACACTGAATGGCGGCCAGTGGAGGGATTGGCAGAGAGGGGTGGAGGACACTGAATGGAGGTCAGTGGAGGGATTGGCAGAGAGGGGTGGAGTACTGATGGAAGTACAACATTTCTAACCATTTCATTACTGTCAGATCCTGTCAGGAGCCATGAACTAGGCGGAGACAGAAAGTGCAGTTAAAATCACACCTTTAATGAAATAGCAAAAATAACTCAGTTCAGGAATTTAGTCAAAAACAGAAGCCAGGGTTTGGATGCCAGAGCGGGTAATCAGACAAGCTGAGGTCCGGAAACCCGAAGTCAGTGTAGTCAGGAGCAGATCAGGACCAGGAATCCTAAGTGAGTTGTACACAGGAACACACTGGAGATTATGGGCCACGCAATGGCAAGGAGGGAATGAGCTAAGCTGCTAAAATAACAAAAGGGGCTGGCTGTAGGCTGGACTAACAAGGCAGGTAGAGGTGTCCAGGTGAGTCATTGTGCAGACAAGGAGTAGCTGGTAATTACCAACAGTTGAGCAGCTTTTGAGCACTGAAAGAAAAGAGCTGCCCTTTAAGTAGTAGACACCTTCGCTGGTGTCAGTGGGAAGAATAGTGTCCCATTGTTGGTGTCAGTGTAAAAAATAGTACCCCATTGTTGGTGCCGGTGGCAAGAATTACGCCCCATTGTTAGTGTAAGTGGGAGGAATAGTATCTTGTAGGAGTGGTGCCCCATGGGCCGAGTAAACGCAAGCAAAGAACCACGTCCAGCCCCCGGGTCACAGTTTGGAGACCACCACTTTAGAGCAAGAAGAGTAGATTCCCTTCCCAGAGAACTAGATAGACTAAGCTCTTCAGAACACCAACGGATGTTCCCTTCAAAAAGACACGCACAGCTGACTCTCTAGAGGGGTGGCAGCAGCCTAAAAGTCTCTAAGATCTCTCACGGCAGTCTGTACTCACAAATGTCCAGGGAAAGCTGGGTGCCTCCTTCCAACATCCATGTAACATCTTTTTCCAGTGACACCAGACTGGATCTTCTGCAGACAACCCCACAGTCAGCTCTCTGCTGCTTCAGCATCCAGGCAAGTCCATGGCTGTGTTTCCCCGGAGGGCAGCAGTCCTCCAGGCTTGACTGATCCTCAGCAGCAAGAGACCCAGAAGTTCAGTCTCTCAGAGTATTTATGTAGTTACCCAGAAGTCTTCATGGTCCTGCTCCCTGGGATTGGCCGCTTATGCGTAGCAGACACAGACACAGCCCGATCAGAATGGATGTTAGCATGTCCATTTATACTCCATAGGGGGGAAAAGAGGTTCCAATCGAGTCCACCTGAAAAACGGGCAGGCAGACCTGATCGGAATGTTCGTGTGGAAGGGGCCCAAATCTACACAACCCCAGCACCTGTCTAGGAGGGTGCTTGTCAGGAATGGACTCAGCACTGGTGGTGGGACTCACTTGCCATGTGGGCTGCAGTACCAGGGCTGACCAGCGGGTGCTCTCAGCAGCCAGAAGCTCACTCCTGTAGTCAGCCAACACCTGGGGCTGATTGCAGGAGGTGTATTTAAGGAATGACCAGGCCTGTGATCAGTGCCTTGGTGTATGTTTCCCATGAGCCCCTGTACATGGTATCCTGTGTTCCTGCCTATCTGCCTAGTTGCTGACCCTGCTTTGATCCTGACCTCTGCTGACCATCTCCTGTTGAACCCCTGGCTTGCCTGACCATCCTTCTGCCTGATCCTCTGTACCGCGCTGCCCATGAGTTACTGAACCCGGCTTGTGACCCTGACTATTCTCTGCCTGCTCCTACGGTACCTCACTGCCTGCACGTTGCTGACCTGGCCTGCCTGACTACGCCTGACGCTACCCAGACGATCCATCCATCCCGCACGGATCCAGTCAATACTGTCCAAACCTGCCAGCCCCTTCACATCAGGCTTTCCCCCGGTACATACCCTCGGCAGACCCCTCTACCACAGTTGGGTGCACTCAGGGGCCGCGACCTGGTCTCAGTCCTGCACCAAGTCCATCCCCACCATCAGGGGCTCTGGTGAAAAGGCAGATTGGGGCTTAGACTCCGCGCCCTGGGGAATCCTGTTCTGTGGGTCACTAGAGATCCCGCCGGGCGGTGCCTGACGGTACCTTACGGCCCGCCTGACCATTCCACCTCTCCAGCCCTGACTACGCCTGTGTTCCTGAAGCCTGCTACTTCCCTGTGTCAGTCCACACATCTCTGGTCACACCCGGATCCCTGACAGTGCAACACATGTACTTTATTTCCCACAGGTGTGAAAGAAAGATGAAGATTCTTCTTCTCCTCCAGTTGTTCATCTCGATGATCCTTGTGACCAGCCCGTTCAAACCAAATGAAGGCCGCAGCTCTAAATGGCAAGATTTAGAGATGTCTAAAGCTCAAATGAACTTTGCATTGAGGATTTACAAACGCATTTCTCCGCTATCAGCAAGACTCCAACCAAACCTTTTTTTTTCACCAGTCAGCGTCTACGCAGCCCTCTCCATGCTGGCTCTCGGCGCCCGATCAATGACTCGTCTGAAAATCCTCCAAGGCATGGACCTGAATGACACCATGACAGACGAGGAGCTGAATCAGGGCTATAGGAAGCTCCTTCAAGTGTTAAGTCAGAACACCAAAGACGTGGAAATCAAGCTCAGCAATGAGATCTTCATAGACAAGTCGGCAAATATTTTACTAGGATACCAATATAATGTGGCTCACTACTACAACACCTCCATTCAAACCATCAGCTTCAGCAACCCTCAAAATGCTGAGAAAACAATCAATGAGATTGAGAACCACAGAACAGGTCAAAAGATACAGAATGTGGTCAGTGACTTGGATTCCAAAACATCGATGGTTCTCCTAGATTATACAGTCTTCCATGGTAAGTCCATTTTACTGTTGACTACAGAAAGTCGATTTTGGAGAAACAGATGTAACAAAACTTCAGATACAACCAGGGGCAGACTGACAACTCATGGGGCCCCGGGGCAATAGGGGATCATGGGGCCCCTGTGCCCTTGCCCAAACTCAAAAAAGCCTATGAAAAAGGTACCAGGTGCATCTCATGGGGCCCCCTACTGACCCCGGGCCCTTGGGCAGTGCCCGAGTTTCCAAATGGTCAGTCCGCCCCTGGATACAACCACCACCGGACTTTGTCAAGAGTCCATCCCGGAATGGCTGTATTTTCCATAAGGCCCTTGTAGGCCAGCCCCTAAATATGCATAGGGGTAAGGGGGCAGCACAAGCAGGGCTTTTTTTTCAGCGGGAACGCGGGGGGACACAGTTCTGACACCTCCAGCACTAAATGTGTGTAATGGCGAGTGAGTCTATGAATGTTGGCTGCTGGGGGGGGTCGTTTGTTGCTGGGGAGGTCTGTTGTTGCTGTTGGGGGGTCTACTGTTGCTAGGGGTGGGTCTTATTTTGCCGGAGGGTCAACTGTTCCTGGGAGGGATCTAGATTTGAGAGAGGGGTCTATTGTTGCTTGTTGCTGTAGGGTCGACTGTTGATGGCTGTAAGGAGATCTGTGGATGCTGTAGGGGGGGTCTGTTTTTTGGGGGGGGGTATTTTGTTGCAGATGGTCTATTGTTGCTGGGGGATCTATTGTTGCTGGAGAGGGGGTCTATTGTTGCTGTAGGGGATATTGTTTACTGATTTTCTTGTTATCATTAACAAATCTATACAGTTTACTTCCACAAGTAAGGTTCTGTATTCTGTCAGAGGGACGGTTCTGGGGTGGAACCAGTGAATGGCGCTCAGAGGTGGGTAATGATGAAGATAAGGGGTGACTCAGAAAGGGGGAGTTCCTGCATCTGTTCTCTGAGAAAAAGAAGCCCCAAGAATTTACAAACTCTGCTATTTTTTTCTTTATTTTGTTTCCATCATTTGTTCACCTCTGAACATTTGTGGCTAAATTCAGCAAGATAGCT